AAATCTAGAACCAAGAGGAGGGTTGTTGTGGGAACATGGGAGCAGTGGTGAGCTGACTGGGGACATGTGGCCTTTCATCCTTCGATTCCAATATTCCCACTTCTCCACGTACCCTTCAATAAACCCCCGTCCATAAACCTTACATTTCTCTTCCTGACAACCTAATCCCACCCCTAGTCATCATGGGTTTGACAGTGCTCGCTTCGGCAGCACATATACTCAAATTGGAACCATCATGTGTTTGACAAAACTCCCTGTTCATAAGGCTCACCTGAGGGACTTGGAAAGTTTAGGAAATGCTTTCTTTCCACTCCAGACTCTCATAGTGTCAAGTTCTCCATGATCTTGCCTCTTGTCTCTACCATCACCTGAGTCTAGCGTTGTCTTCCTCAAAGAAATGGTGGAACGGTAGGGGTACTTTTCAATCAAAGCAGCAATATAAACACAGGTAATTGTTCTCAGGGACTGGTAGTAATCCAACAGTGCTTTGGGTTCTCCTGGCTCTGTGCCTTTGTATGTGCTTCTCCAGGTGCCTGTACTGGCCTGGAGAAAGGTCTCTTTCACTGCAAGTGTTTGTACTCCGTACAACTCAATTAAGGTATCATTGAAAACTTGTTTCACGTCTCTCTCCTTCGCTGGCCCCCAACAGACAGGTATAGGCTTTGTCTCTGCCCTTCTGACACTTGTACAAGCTTATCATTGTTTTGAAACCTATTTGCTTGCCATTCTTTCTCATAAGACTGAGCAACTATAGGACTAAGATTCCAACTAGTCCATTCTCTTGTGGCCCTGCCTGGAGCACACAAAAGGTCTGCAAGAAACTAATACATTCATTGGATGAAAGCTTGCCTTATTTACGGGAGGCCTCAGGAAGCCAAGGTCATATAGAGGAAAGAAAACTGGAGTCCAACTGTGGCTCTGCCTCTGGTTATTTGTGTAATCGTGAAGTATCTCAACCTCTGTGCCTGATTTTTCACGTCTGAAACGTGGTTAGATGTTTAAGGGTTTGGCTCAGTAACCTCTGTGGTTCTTTGCAATGCTGTAAATGTGTCTCAACACTGACCCTGGGATTTGCTCCTACCCACACTGCATCCCTGCTCAACCCATAGCCAGAGCAAAATGGCAGGCCACGCTGGTACTGTTAAACATCTGGTCATTGAGTTCATGCGCAGGATTCTATGCGTTGTTGCTGCTTGGCTTTGTGGAATGGAGAGGAGACTTGTTATTTAATATCATGCAGAACCTTTTTCTACATAATCAAGGTCGGCTTCCAGATGTAGATAACATAGATCATACCAATGTGAAGGCAGATCCACATAGTTTTAATTTCAAATATGTAAAGCTAGCTACGTAGAGTAAAGGAAGTCTTGAAAGACAAAATTCTTCAGGCTACCATGTTTAGAAAAATATTTATGTATATCAAATTCAAAGACAAGAGAGGACAGTATATAAAATTGATTTTATTTCATGCACATATATACCAAATATAAAACTAGTTGAGCTAACAGATCTTGGTTAGATAAAAATCTCTAAACAGATTATATAAAACACAATATTGGCAACCATCATTTCTTATATGCTTCTCATCTATCACAACAAGACTTGGCCATTGATGTAACTGTGATATCACTGGGAAACATTTTTTTTTACATATTTGACAGTAATAGTATAAAACAGAAATGGAAAAATAAGAAATACATCTCTATTCCGAAAAAAAATTTTAAACTACAAATCTGTAATTCTTTGCTTGTCCTTGCAAAGACACAGAACTAGCAGAACAAAGATCTGGAATATCCAATATACATACAGTCACCACACGAAGTTATATTTCAGGAACTAATTTTTTGGCAGGAAGGGATGCATGACTCCTCCCTGACAGCCTACCAACAGTTACTCATGAGTCAAATAGAAGGATTTGGCTAGTCTGCTGACATTTCCTTGACATGTTTGCTCCCCACCCTCACAATTACAGGCCCTGATTTGAGAGATTAAGGACCATAACTAGTCTCCTAAGAGAGCCCTTTGTCCTGTCTTGCCCCATGCCCTATCCTTCCTCTATACTTTTGGGAGTTACCTTGCTGAACTCAAACCTCCACTGCCTGTTCATAAAGTCTAAACTTCTTGGTCTGCACAAAACCTGTACCCACCTGATCACTGTTCTCTTTTTCCAACACCTCTCCTTATCAACCTTGCTCCACCCTAGCGTCTGAACCACTTGCCTCTGCCTGAATGCCCCATGCAGTTCCATGCTTCAGTCAACGAACAGTCGAGTGCCTCCCACTTGTGTGCTAGGCATGGTGTGGGTAGTTTTCCTGCATTCGCTCATACTGTTCCCAATGTGTAGAATGTTCTACTCAAAATCTGTATCCCTGGAAAACATCCCATGTTTCCAAGTCTCAGTACCCAGTCCCTATAATTTTGGCCTTATCGGTTAAAACTAACCAGGTCATTTTCTGTGCTTTACACCAGCTCTATTGCATAGTCTTAATGCTTCTATGTCAGTGAGGCCATAAACTTTGAGGTCCATGTCTCCTTCTTCTTTTCATTCCTATTATCTGCATGGTACTTGACACATTATTTCATCTTAGCCCCGGCTAGTTCTTTGGCCTTCATCTACATATGACAACAAAATAAGCAACAAAAAGCTGCCTTAGGCAGTAATCATTTCACAAGTTAGAAGGGAAATTTAGAACAGTAAGGGACTTGCAGAATTCTAAGGATGAATCTTAACTAATGAAGCGCAGAGGCGTTCATTAGAGACACAGGAATGGCTCAGTTTCTTCCATGACCACAATCAGGGATCTGTGCTTCTTCTACCTTGTTAAGCAACTAATCAAACTGAGCACAACAAAACAAAACTTTCCTTTGTCCTAAGTTCAACAAACTCTAGAGTTGTGGAATATTGGATAAATAAAACCTTCCAGTTTCCTCTTCCTGTAAATAGTAGAACACATCGGTGTGATGAAATCACCTCCTACTACTTCTCAACCTAATGCCAGATTGCCTGCTTCAGATTTCTCTGACCTTCGGGAATTGCTTAATTGCTTCTTCCTCTGTATTCCCGTAGCACTGTATACACTCTAATATAGGTAGTTTAAAAATAATAATATTAATTCTAGACCATGAAATTACAACAGGTCAGTGCCTGGCATATAATAAACACTCAGATGAATGAGGAATTGGATCTTACTTTAAGGATATGAAGTAAGACTAATTATCTTAATTCTAACCTTAATACTTCCCTTAGCATTTAATAAGGGATTATTATCTGTGAACACAGATTTAACATCAGGCAGTGGTTTTTGCTACCTGAAATACTGAAGTCTGCAAAAAAGGTATTTATTTAGGAGGACACCATATATTTTAAAAAATCAATTTATTTAAACAGATGCTACAAAGGTAATATACAGTAAGTGAAAAAACCACTAATACAATAAAATTGCTTTCATGTATACATACTTAAGATAATTTTAAGTGTTTGGAATAGGCCCAGAGAACCTTTATTCTGTGGTGTTGCCATTTTGTGTTTTGACTATTTAAAAACATTTTAAATGACTAAACACAAAGTTCGATTATTATTAAACTCCAACTGAATTTGTTGTAAATTAGTGGCAGTAAAACATCAGCTACACTAAAATCTGCTCTTAAATTTGTTCTGGTTAGATCACTGAGTAACCAACTCTACTCACATATCACTCATTATGTGACTTATCATCTTGTGATTCCTGATAGTTTATAAAGCAATTTTAATACTTGAAATGCAAGTCTAGCTTGTGGCCTAGTTTTTATAATTTGGTAATTCTATAAAAGTATTTGAAGCTTGCTTTAACAGTGCTACATCTCAACCCTGATATTAAAACAGCCTCAATGTAATCAATTTACACACCTGGTGGCACTAAGACACTCAGGAACTACTTCAAAAGTTATTTCCTTGTGGCATCCTTCTTTTAAGGATGGAAACTATACTTTGCAATGAAATTAAGAAATCTGTTAGAAGACAAATCTGAGGACTTTTAAAAATTATACAGTACATTAGTAAGTGCTTTAAAAGGTAAACCATCCAATAACATATATGAAAGTTATACCATGGATGCAAGGTCATAAGAAAACAGATTAAACTTGTTTTTCCATTCACTTCTACAAATGCTCTCTAGTAACCACACTGGTATTATAAAGCAATCAAGAACAACATTTGTCTCTCATCAGTCTGTGTATATGCAGACATTTGCCTATTTAATTGGCACATACACACTCCAACTATACAAATTACTTCAATCCTATATCCATTTACCTCTCAGAGTGGTTTAATGTCACCAGAGTGACACATAAAAGGAAAAAAAAAAAAAAACGAATGCCAGGCTTCTGAGTAAGTAAAGCCAATCAGATCGTTCAACTGATGCTACAGTAGCTTATTTCTGCAGGAAAACACAGATTTCTATAGTTCTAGTCAGTTACTTTATCATTAAACTCTAACTTCGCCAACATGGTTTCAAGTAATGAAAGTATTTTTGACTTATTGGGAATTATATATAATGCATGGGAAAAAAAACAGATTGTGAATTTTTTTTGCCAATCATCAAACATGTTCTCATCTGAACGAGGGAAATTCTTTTAGTTTAATATAAGTTTTTCAATGAAACAATAAATTTACAATGAAGTTAGTGGTCTTATTCAATAAGTCTTCTAACTTCAAATTCAGGCCTAAGAGAGAAGAACAGTGATTATAGGAGAAAAAAAAAAAAAATCTCCTGCAGCCATCATCTTAGGGGCCGGTTCTCTTGTAATGATGAATTCTTTTTTTTTTTTTTTTAAGATTTTATTTATTTATTTGACAGATAGAGAAACAGTGAGAGAGGAAACACAAGCAGGGGGAGAGGGAGAGGGAGAAGCAGACTTCTGGTGGAGCAGGGAGCCTGACGCAGGGCTCGATTCCCCGACCCTGGGGTCATGACCTGAGCCAAAGGCAGACGCCCAACGACTGAGCCACCCAGGAGCCCCTGTAATGATGAATTCTATCACAAGTTGTCATGTTTCCAAGATCTGCACAGGGCTTTAAAATCGAACTGCCTGAGAAGTTTCAGAAAGCCTTTGTTCTTGGGCTTACACAGTAAGCACTTTGGGTGATTCTTAGTCACATTTTTATCCAGAATACAGTGTTACAGGTCACATTTTTCTCGACGATGCTTATACTGACTTGTGCTCTCTCTATATAAACATATTTACACACAGAATACAACACTGACACAGGGATATGAAGTTAGCCAGCCATCCATAAGAAGAATGGGATAAAAATTGCAGGAAGGGTAGTATAGGATGCCAAGCCCAGACAGACTATAGATGCCAATCCCAAGACCGCTGAAGCGAGAACACTTCTCTCATCACGAATAATTATCTTCACATTCTCACAGAACTGGAAAATAAAATTTAAGAATATTAGAAAAGGGGGCTGAACCTAAGAAGAATCACATGTACCAAATAGTAAAGCATAATTTTCTCACCTATTTTCTGTCTAACAGAAAAACCAGAATTTCTCTTATGACTTCGGAAAGAATTTAAGGTGTGAATAGTTCAGTTTCTTGATTCCACATCCCATAGTAACTGAAATGATGCTTCAGGCAACTAGGTTCACAAAGGCAACTGCCTTTGTAAATACAGACATTTTATGGAAAACTACAGAGAATGTAACCACATAAAAGTTATTCAGGATTAAATGTTAAAACTTTAAACTGCCTGTCAATAACAATAACATATTCTAAAATTTCACAAGCAAAGGAATCTCTAATCTTGATAAAATTTAGCCTATTATTATTGGTGAATTCAGTTCCTACAACTCATCATTTGAAAATTTGATGATACCAATGAAAACTGTCCTCAGAGGTCTCAAAATCTAAAGGCATAAGAAAGTCTAATTTTTTGGTCATATCCCATGCTCTGAGTAAATTAAATTCAATCAATTACATGACATAAAATTGGCTGCTGGAGATAAAGATAAATTAAATATGATCCCTACCCCTGAGGAAGTCATTCTTCTAATATGTGAAATTGTTCTCCTTTAAAAACCAAATTTACTCAGAAGTGATGGCTTATGTTTGAGTCCTGGCTCACCTCTTATTAGCTCCAGTAAATCTCATGTAAAGCATTTAACTTGTCCAGACTACCCTCTTCTCCTCCATGGGAATAAGAAGGTTGTTGTGAGGATCAAGTGAGATCTTTAATGCAAAAGTATTCCTCTACGTGCTGCGTAAATGTAAGGCATTACAATGATTATTATTACTGCTACATCTGTTGACAGTTAGCTCTACCTCATCACTGTCTGGGCAAAATTTAGCAATGAACTGCTCCGTTTTTTATATGTGACTTGTGCTATTCGTGCTAGTTTTAAGCTCCTTTCCTAGACATGACATTGTATATGCTTTGAGGGTCTCCTACAGTGGCCTATACGGTCCTGGACGGCCAGGTTTCTAAATTCTTAATGGCCAGAGTATACGAGCCCAGTATATTTTAATGCATTATCTTGACTGTAAAGTTGTCTCTAGCCATACTTTTATACAATTTCTAGACAAATTCCTGTTCCTGTTAGTTATCCAGATGTTGTCTTCTTACATGTCAAACAGACGATTTGTCTCTTTCTGCTAAACAAAAACATTGAGTCCCAAATACACAATCTTAAAGTGGTGAAGATCAAACTAAATGAAGTTTTCAGGACAATGAGAAAAGGTGCTTGGCAAACAATGGGAAGATTAACTGTCTTCGTACAGTTACGCTCTTTTTGTCTTTTTCCCAATAATTGTTAATTAAGGAAAACAGAGAATCATGATGGACTCCTTTCCCCAAAAGCAGATTTTCTCAAGGAGCATCTTATTTCTAATGTCCTGTCCTTGTTCACTTGGCCATTAGCCCAAGGAGGCATCTCTAGTGGTGCTCAACAGGAGGGAATGTCCTGCATTGCTAGAAGGTAGCCTGTAGGGGCACTTTTTGAGTACGGAAACCCCAGAAATTAAAAGGGGTATTTGCATTCATTTTTTGGCAATAAAAAGCAGTACCAGCAACATTTAAAAAAAAGAGTTGAAAAAGCATAAGGCATAACAAGAGTAATTAAGGGCTTTATATTTTACAGAACACTGAAATTGTTAATAGTAATATAAAACTCCCTTAATTTTATGATTTCTAAACTTGTTAAAAAGAGCTTCACACTACAAAAAAGCAAAATGTTTTCTTCCAATTTATTTTCAAATTATTTGCTGTGCTTTCATGAGGGAAAGTGCTCTTCAAAGTGTTTATAAACTTAAATTTAACTTTAAGTAAGAGACAACTTGCAACTCTCAGTGTCAGTCAGGCTTACAGTAGTATACATAGATGGAGAACTCAGCAATCAGACCCTGAGTCAAGTAATTCCTTACATCTCTGAAAAGTAGAAATCAGTCCTCCTTCAATAATAATGACCTACTTCTCTCAAGGCATGTTCAAAAAAACAGTTCTTAGAATTGGAAAATTTGGGATGGGGATTTTTTTTTTCCCCCGGGGAAATCTACTCTGGCCAAATTGTTTGTTACACCATTCAAAGTGAAGACAAAAACTCAGTTTCACAAGAGGTGCTATGCAGCAACAGTAATTAAAACATTTCTCTACTTCTGTAAAACCTTACAAAGTTTCCAAAGATGAAAAACTACTCCAGCTAGTTATTTATGCAGATTAAATATTTTACTACCTCGAAAAAAGCACTTGTGATGTGTTTTGTTTGTTTGTTTGGTTGGTTTTGGTCAAAATACAGAATACAGTGCTATATGTGTTCCATGAAAGGGTAACTCCTAATTACTGGATAGAAGTACTGTTTTTCCTTAGAGAAATAATTTGCTTGGTTCCTAAGTAAATCTGACCTGTTTCCTTTTGTACACTTTTGGAGCCAGTGTTTGTAAATGTAGTGAAGTTCATTTCTAATCAGGCCTGGACTATGGCTGTGATTCTTAAATCATTGCACACTGCTCAAACTATATTTTTATTTGACTAGATTGAGTCTGTTGTGGCTCTATAAATAATCTATAAGAAGTTTCATATATTGATGTATAAAAAGCATAGTACTTGTATGTTCTGCCACAGAGGAAAAAAAGATTTTCCCATATGGGTCAAAAAATTAATCAAGATGTGAAGCAATACAAAATCGGTTGCATGGACTCATTCTTTTGGTCCAAAAAGTATCTAAACATGAAGGCTAAAATGTGAAGCTCATTAGGTGATTGCCCAGGTTTCAGTTAAGAGTGAACATTAACAATAACCTCTTTAACAACTACAGTGAAGCCTGAGAAAGCTACTAATTGCAAATGCAGTTGCAGGCTTAAAAAGTTAACTATCTTTAAGTTAAGAGGTTTCAAAAGGAAATAAAAAATCCACCCACCCCCCCACCCCTTTGGATTTGTGGGTAATTTAATCATCTTCAATGCTAATACTGTTTGTTTGTTTGTTTTTAAGTGCTCATAAAAATTACATTGAACGGACCTTCTTGAAAACCAATTGTTTTTATCTCTGAGGAACCCATAAACAATCCCACCTTTGGAGCTAAGGGTTAAAGGATGCCTAACAATGAGGAAGTCTAGATGGGGATTAAAGCCTTCAAAGAAAGAATTCAGAATACCAAGGAAATGACTTCTCTGAAGCCAGACACCGGAGTAAGGGATCTACCAGGGAGGTCTTCCTACTGGGAATTTTGATGGTTTATATTAAGCAAAGGGAATTCACTCTGCAGCTTACAGATGGAGAAACCTGCATGCTTCCTTAATTTTAAAGGCACAATTTATACACAGGGTTATAGATAAAATACAAACTCTGTCGCCTTTCTTCCAATTGCAATTCTTGGGAAAATTTGCAAGCACACAGCGACAGATTTTCTCTTGACCCCCCCCAACCCCCACCTGCCCTTTTGTCATTTCGACGACGCTGGGTGGACACCCTGACGACCTCTGCAGCAATAACTAGGTAGATTTGGAATCGCTGGCAGCGGTACTGCATTGTCACACTCTTTAACCCCACATTTTGAGGTTACCTTGCAAGGGACAACGCTATTTATTTATTTGGCCTCCTTTAGGAACACCAGAGAGATCGTTACTCATTCTAGAACTCAATCCCTGATTCCAGAGTATAGAAAAAGGTTAGAGATGGGAAAGGGTGTCCCCACCGAACCCAACGGCGAGTCACACGTGTACCTTGTCGGCCTGGGGGCTGATCGAGGTGCCGAATCTGCAGTAGGTCACAAAGTGCTCACAGTTGTTCCACAGTAGGCTGTAGGGAGTTATGCCCAGCAGCTTCTCCGCCCGCTGCGCCACCTCTTCGTTGAGCAACGCCTTCTTCTTGAGGGACTTGTCCAGGTGATTGACCAGGATGTCGGCTCCATAGGCGAAGTCCTCCACTGTGTCCACGCGGATGCTGGCTATCCTGCCAATGACGCCCAGGATGAGACGCTTATTGGAGACCACCTTCTGCGTGCGCCCCTTGTCTTTGGTCAGGGCCAACAGGATGTCGGGCATCATGTGGGCAACACGGTTGTCGCCCAGGTAGATGCCGTAGTGGGTCAGGTGGGTCCGGGGCACTTCCAGCACGTCGCCGCGAAGGAAGGAGCTGATCTCATAGTAACTATTCTTCGCCTTGTCTTCGCCCGGGGTGCCCGAACTGAAGAGCTTGAAGTTGGAGATGAGGAGCAGCTTCTCCAGCAATTGGGACAGCGCCTCCAGCATTGGGTTCTTCATCCTGCAGGGGAAAGGGAGCGTTGGGGGGACCGCCGCTGCTCGGGCACGGGCCGGGCTAGGTGAGGTCGCCGCACTGGGGCGCTGCGCTGCTCCTCACCTGCAGGCCGGTGGCCCCGGAAAGGAGAGAAGCCTGGAGATTAGCTTGGCCGCCCCGCCCTGGGAACTGAGGAGAATGAGGACCTGACCGAGGCAGACCGCGGGGACAGTGGCACCGGCGCTGAGAGCAACAAGCTACGAAACCCACCTGGGGGCCGTGTCGGGGCGCAGGACAGCGCGCGGAACCCTGGGCTGAAGCCTCCTCTGAGGCCTTTTAGCCCAGTCAAGGGGCGGGGCCGAACGCCGTCACAGACCCGGCGAGAGCGCTGATTGGGCGCCGGTTACCAGCGCCGCTCGCCGCGAGGGGCGCGCGGGACCGCGGGTTCTTTGGAAGGGGGTTGGCGGGCCTCCCGGGTCCGGTGTTCTTCCTTGAGACCCGCCTCCAGACGCAGGTTCCCCTTGGCACTCGCGACCTAAGCTCTTGCGGCCTCTAAGCGGCCGTTTAGAGCAGTGGCCGAGGCGCGGCCGCGCAAAAGTTCCTGCACCTGTCTGAACTGGGGCGCATTCTGGGCAAAGTTTTCGGTGGAAAAGTCCCCTCCGGCGAGATTTCTGAGCCAAACCACCTCCCTCTAAAGGGTTGGATACCCAGAGACCTCGGCTTACTAAAGTGTTTGCATTAATCTGCGAAGCGTGCGCACCTCCAAAGCCTGCGGATTCCTCCCTAGAGACCTAGTCCCACGCGCCGCGGATCGTCCTCCCTTTTACATGCCCCGAATCCTTTTTGCTCTCAGCTGGCGCGCGGGTCGGTAGAGACCCGCGCGTCCAGGTCCCGAGCTCTGGCGATTAGAACCCAAGGCGCCTCTGCGCTCGGACGCACCAGTGACCGTTGAGCGCGCGGCTCTCAACTGTCAGCCGGCGAAGCCCCCAACGACCGCCTGGAAAGCCAGATTAATGTCAAGTTTATTCCTTCGGCTTCAGGGTCACATGGACCCTGCGGGGGTTCATCCCCCAAAACGTTGCCGCTTTCAAAGCGCAGCCGCCCGGGCTTGGCCAAGAACGGATGTGGCACTGCGTTCCTTGCCAGAGCAGAGCGCCTGCAGCGTGACCCAGGCGCAACAGCTAGGGTGGTCCCCGGGAGCAGCCGGGTGAGGGCGCTGCAGAAGCGCGGTCCGCGCCAGGCTCGGCACGCGGTGTCCCGACCCTGCGCGGAGTTCGATGCTAATGCATTATGTAAATGCTTAAATTCCGCAGACAAAGGCCACAATAGAGAGCCTTGGTTGGCTCCACAAAGCTGCCCAATTCGGGGCTAATAGGTTTCTTCGGGAAGCAGATTCTCCGCTCGCCTCGGGGAGGAGGCTGCCTGTGGATGATGAATGAAGGGCCATTCATCTTACCTGGAAGAAGAAGGGGACCATGGAGACCAGGCGGGGAGGAGGCTGGCTCTCAATTATCCTCGGAGGCCCGGCCTTTGCTCCTACCCCGAGTCTGCCATCAGCGTTCTGCCCCAGTCGTCCCGTTTGCGCGTGACTTTTGTTCATCTCACAAATGATCCCGAATCACATTAGAGTCCCAGCAAAGAGAAGTAAACTCCATTTCCCACAACCGAATCGAAAAAGGACGATGGAGAAGGGGAGAGAGGCAGTGCACTGGAAATTTTAAATCCTTATTTCCCCAGTCTGCCCCCAAAATTTAAAGCGCAGAGCTACGGAGTTGCTGAAATTAATCAAACACCTCCGCACGTGGGCGTCTGTTAGCTTCCAGCCACACACCAGCTCAGCCGCTGGATTTAAAATCTGGGGAGTCCGTGGAAATTTTTTAAAATCTGATCCAGATCTCCGCGCACACGTTAAACTGCAGATCCCACGTCTGACTCTAAGGCTCTGGACACACTAGGCTGGTACAGTTCTAAGAAAGCATAGATGCCGGAACCTCCAATGTCAGGAGCCAAACGGCTGGGGGAGATCAAAGGAGACTTAGTAATTAGTGATTTCCGTCTCTGGTGGTCACTAATGCAGCTTATTAACGCCTACGACTGTCTCCACCTGGGGAATTGGGGGAGACAAAAGTATGGAGGACTGCCTGCCGGCTCCACAAGAGAACTCCTTTAGAGCAAAAAATATTAAGAAATCACCTCTAGACCTTCAATCGCCTCATCCCCACACAGGGTTTTGTGAAAAATAGGCAGTGCCAAGCTGATTTGCAATTCCCCTGCCCCGCCTGAGGAAACTCGGCCTTGGATAACCCAAAGGAGGCTGTAGAACATTGCCGTTTGTCGCGTTTTTGAAGTCGTCTGAGACCTCTTAAGCGGGGAGTGGTTAGGAAAGATTAGGGTGCTTCTCAACTTAAAAAATGCAGCGTCCTCAAATGAGCTCTTGTAGGCTCAACTGATTTGCCCTCCCCATGGTAACCCTACCTTACAAAAGGCAACTCTCAAAGTTCTCAGACTTGCATATATTTTTGTGGCTGAGCGGTCAGTTTTTGATTGCTCCCTAGAGGCACACTTCATAAATATGCTTATATGCTAATAGTCACACTCCCACTAATAGTCTGCATCAGTTTTAGCTAAACTGGGAAGGGACAATGCTGTTAGAAGGAAAGGCCCAAGAAAAATCTCACAGAAATTTCTCCTTGGGTGTGCCTGGGTGGCGCAATCGGTTTAAGCGTGGGACTCCTGGTTTCTGCTGGGGTTGGAATCTCATGGTCCTGAGATGCAGCCCAGTGTGGGGCTCCGCGCTCTATGTGGGATCTGCTTAAGGCTCTCTCTCTGCCCCTCCCCCCTCACTTTCTCTCTCTCTCTCTCTCTCTCTAAAATAAATAAATAAATCTTAAAAGAAAGAAAGAAAAGAAAAGAAAAGAAAAGAAAAGAAAAGAAAAGAAAATTTCTCCTTCCTAAACCAGAAACCTATTCCTTTAGAAGAAGGAGCATCCCCATGGGTTGCTAGAAAGACCTCTTGTTTTCCAGACTGTATGAAAGTCAGCTACATTCAACAAGTCTCCATGTGCAAATGCCTTAAATGCACGCAAATGGGTCGCCAGTTCTGGCTTGGGGATTCTAAAAGAGCTGAGGCTTTCCAGGTCAACACACAGACTTCACTGAAAGGTCCGCCGACTCTCACCTCATCCACCGCTTCCCTATCCTCCCACTAGACAGTGATAGCATCCCTACCTGCAGTTCTCAAGCCTGGGTCCATTTCTCCCAGCTGTATAGGCCAAGACTCACTGGGTTTCTGTGCAAAGGAGGCTGAAGTTGGGCTCATAGAGCCCACCTAACTTCTGGGCTTCATCTAGGAGCCCTTGATCTCATCATGGGTCCCAGGAGAAAGCGGTCCCACTCTCAGAGACAAGGTGCAGAGTCCAGCAGAAATCTGGAAGGCTAACGGATTTCCTACCTGCACACTTCTTGTCTCTGGAGCCTCCTTGTTCCTCAGAGGACTCTTTAGAGTAGAGGATATGATCACAAAATTCTGTGCTTCTTATGTGCTGGGCCCTGAAAGCATTTTCTCACTTCATCATTACCCTGTGAAGTATCTCCATTTTACACAGGAAGAAATTGATGCTTATAATTTTGCCTCTATCACTGTGTTGGTGTGGATCAGGACTCAACCACAGGTTTCTTTGCCCCCAGGTCCATCACCACTGGGGAAGGACTGACCTTCCATCAGTCCATCCACCTGTCATCCATTCATTTATTAAATACCTGCTATATGTCAGGTGCTGTGCTTGCCTTGGAAGTTCAATGAAATACCTAACCCTAAACTTGATCCCATGCCTTTTCTTTTTAATTTGGACTTCATTTCCCTGCTTCTCTAGTGGGGGTCTAATTTTTAGCATCAGTTATTTTATTGCAATGGTGAGGAAGGTCTGATGAAGATTCTGGTTAATAGCATTCTCTTGCCAGGAAGACCCTAGCACTTGAGTGGCCATGTAGTCTCACACCCTCCTTAGACCTAGGTGTTCAGGTCTTGCCCAAGGGCATGAGCTCCGAAGCAGCACCTAGGTTATCCCAGACTTCTTACCTTGTACACCTTCTTTCCCCTGGCCCCTAAGACTGATAAATTTGGTTTTCTAAACTTCATGTTTCAAAATTATTGCTCTCCTTTAGGATTATTTTGTGGTTGTTCTTAGATTTTTAAGATTATTAAATTTAGGGGCACATAAATAACCATAATCTTACCATTTGTTTTTCTTCTGAGCTATCCTTCTGCCTTCAGTTCATTTACAAATGCTCATGTCTGGTCCCATGGACACAGAGGCCCTGACTGGCTAATTCTAAGGGAGTGGGGAGAATAGAGGCTTTGTGCACTTCCCTCTGGAAACAGGGGGAAAAGAGCAGACACCTTTTCATGGAGCCTCCAAACTCAGTGCTACCTGGAGTGTTAGGAATCAATTACCTCCTGGGAGGAGGACTTCCTTTCCCAGCTTCCTTCCTGTTTGGCTAGCACCTTATTATGAGGGCCTCAGTCCTGCCTATTGTCTTTAGAAAGATTAAAGGCTGCAGTTCCAGCCAGACAGGATTTAGGGGGTTTTTTCGTTTGTTTGTTTATTTGCTTTGCTAACCATAAAATAAGAACATTGAGCAAAAAATGAAGAATGTACATTTACTACCAAGAATCATGACCAAAGTAAATACAGCTTCTTATAAATGAATAACAGGTTGAGGCAGCTGTGACATAGAGGAAGGAGGCAAAAATCCCAAGTTGAAGGCCTTATAGTGCCATTTACAGCTCAATTAACTCAGACAAGTCATTTGTCACCTCTGAGCCTCAATGTCATCTTTCTAAAATGGGAATCACTTTTCAAAGGGATGCTTGGAGGATTAAACACTATCAAATATACTGTACCAATATATGAAGATCCATAACATAATGCATCATCTAGCATATCATTTGTATTATTCTTCAGAAAAACAAAGTAAGGCAGGGGTGCTTTTCCTTTCTGCTTTGACAGCACAGTTATCCAAGAATGC